TCAATGAACTTAGGGGGACAATGGTAATCGTCCCCAACCGATGCTCCCAATGGTCTCCACCTAGTCTTTTGTCATGGGCAATTCGTGCTTTCCCACATCTTACAATGGCAAAGCAAGTGCCGAGCAATCAGATCTATCGGTTCATCCAATCTTAAACGTTAACGGCCTCTTCGCTTGTTAGCTAATTAAATGATAATTAATTGAAGGATTTTCTGCCAAGGTCGTTTCGTGTATGTGATACATAATCTCAAATTGAACTGGAAGTCACTCAGTGAAACTGTCTCTGAAACGGAAAAGCTTCGGGGCTACCAGCTCCCGGCACTGTAGCTCACGACCGGTTGCTTCCCTATATGGATTCCACAGGTTGAGATCCTTGAACTAGAACTAGAACCAAGGAAGTAGAGATTACCGCAGATGCAGTAAACGTTACACCAGCGAGTTCTGTTGATAAAGTTTGGCGCGGCGGTATTTCCGCTGCATTAGTTGCCGTCCCCCTAAGCAATCAAGTGCCGCACATTCCGGGTGTTGTCTTCAATCGCGAGCAGCATCAACTCTGTGTACACAAGTAGCTGACAGTCGCGCTAGACCAGCTATAGTAATTTAAAACAAGCACTTTTCTTTAGGATTTCAAACATATATTCAGAAGACGTAGATTGTGAGATGACACCCTCATTTCATGTATTTTATCAATCACAAAATCATGCAACATTGGAATCTAATCAAACGGTGCTGATAGACAGCAAAACGCATCGGCTACCACGGTAGACTTAGAGCCACTGCCAGCTGTTTCTGAATGCACAGCAGTGGTCGTTCACGATCGATAACGATAGCCTCCAATAGCCTAAGGATTTAGGGCTGCTGATCGCGCATTATGACTAGGAACGACTCATCAGGATTGACTCGGTGACCAGTAGTCAGCAACTGCCTGGTGACTGCTGAAGTAGCTCGGTTTCCCGAGTCAACTGATTCCGTTGTCACAGATCGCATGCGGTGGCGTAACCACTTTGGGATGTGTTCATTGATTCTGACACCTAGACTTCGGTCAGTGCTCTCGAAGTAGCTGTCTCACAGCTACAGATACATTCGTACAGACAGTGGAACATGCATTGCTTTGTCATCGGTATCTTAATCGAACACATTAACATAGGTCTAGTTGTGGTAGCATGAATTGCACTGATTGGCCACCAAACGATTTCACGTGAACTTGCTTGTGGAATTTACTGACTACATGTGGACAATAAAGCAGCATAATTTACTTGCTACTTTGATTGGGATTCAGGAGCCAAGACACCGGAATCCATCGCATTGCGATGCACCGAGACCACTGATCCATGGAGTCAAATCAAACTGCTTCAAAAGCTCTTGGCGGATGAATATTCAGCTTAACTCAGTTGTTTGTCACCAATCAGTGTCTAACTACTTTATTATGTGGCCTCATTTTGGATGGCTTGTAAACAAACAACCGGCAACGAATGCATACGAACACGCGTTGTACTCGTTAGGGTTACAGGCTTAACTACATTTCCTCATTGGTGCACTGTTCACGGCACCTAGGCTGGTGGATAAACGATTACAATTAGGCGTCAAGCGCAGTGAATAGATTAATGCCTAATGAACAACCCTTGTGACCAGCATTTGCAACAATTTCAGACTTCAGTGCGTCAACTCCGTCTTTGACCCATGAGAACTAGCACAACAGGGTCACTAATCGGATGGGTACGTTTTTGAGGTACTATCTCACCACGAATCGAATCGGCTCGATTGCATAGCAGCATCAGTTGTCTTTGACACCTGCTTTCATTAAACCAAAGTTTGTGGGCAATGGGATCCAGCTGGGTGTTATATGAAAGCCATAGTGTCTAAAATTCCCTGACCTGTTTCCTCATTGTTGAAACCGAACGGGAAATGATAGTCTGAAGAATTCAAGCATGGAAAACATCAATCTTTGACAGGCATACTGGAAGCACACACATCCAATGTGTATCTAATCAGGAAAGGCTCAGCGGAATGAGATGATGCAGGTTTACCTCGTAGAAAATCGGTGTAAACCGAATGTTGACACAGATCGAAGCATGCAAAGGGTAATTCAAATTAGAGTCAGGTTTTATATGAATGTATGCACTTTCCACCATATGTTTCGTTTTTACTTGAACAATTGCTCGCTTCATTTCTATTTAATGAAGCATTTTGGGCACAAACCCATGGAGCAATGCGCGCCGCTCATCAGATTAGCTTCGATTTTTATGGTGTATATAAGTGGGGGAGGCTAAGGTGACGAAGCCATGAACAATCGCTAGAGTATTGGTTATAAGCTACAAAAAGAACGAGATGCAGATTTCTGTTCTCAAACACCATGATGAAGCAAACTTGGATTACACTCCACTTTTCGAACCGGCTTCGAATAAGTTGCGGCCATTGTGAGCTAACCTGCTAAGGGGGTAACTGTCGATTCATAAAGGGCTAATCACGTCAAAATAACTGTTAGTCTGGTAAGTTGTAGTAGGGTACGCAGTTAGCATATATCTCCTTGGGTCGGATACAGGTACTATAGCTCTAACAAATTGTGTGTTACAGCGTCGCTTTTGTCAGCACGTGCTCTACACTTGCGAAGCTTAAATGTATCTTTAAAAGGCGATCGACATACCACTGTAGTTTACCAGTATAGTGCAACCACTAACTGGTCGCTCATTTTACCGGGCTGAGTAGTTGTATCACCACCGGTGGTCTCAGCACCGAGAATTGTGTAACACACATTTAAAAGAAACTTGTGGCTTCATTCACTACTTTACTTAAGGAGACAACAGTTAAGGAAATGATGTATTAGGCCACAGTGCAGTCTGAGTTGTGGAATAAATATGATACTTGGTCAACGGGCCCAAAGATGGTAGGAAAATAGACATCTTAAGCAGTTGCTTATTCCAATTCATGCGCAATCTTAATGAGGCCACTGGGGGAATAAAACTAATGCACGGCAGTTTGGATTTCGCAGGTCGCCTTTCGTTACTGCATTACGGTGCCTTTTGGACTTGAATAGTCGACATGGAGCATGTCATGACCTGCAAATGTCACCTAACCAGGCACCATGATGTGTAATGCATTAGACACCACAGCTAGTTAGGTAAAACCCAAAGGTGATCAGGTGAAACGGTCGTAAAGGAGCACTAAGAGGAACACTGAATGGTCAGATCGGGTTGAAAAATACCGCCTTTCTAATTAGAAGGATCGACCTCGACCACCTAGAGGCCTACATCGGATAAGGAGGGATACTCCTTGTCAGTGGTGTTGGCACATTCATTTGTTGTATGCTAAATAATCAATGGTTTGATTGAATGTTTAAACTAGCTATCGTTCCTCTTGAACAAGGTGTGACCGTTTCGATTAAAAATATGAATAGGTCCGCTAATACCAGAGAGCATAGACAAAGCGCACGGATGATACTTGGCCAGAGTATGTTTTCAACTAGGTTGGAGAAGATGGTGCTTGGGCTACTTGCAGCCATAGCCTCGAACTAAATAAGCACCTTGAGGCAGCTGTTGTATCACAGAGGCATCGATTTTCAACTTACAAGATGGCAACCTCCTTCCAGATCAGCGAGAAACGCTCTGTCAACGGTTTCCATCCCACTATAGTTCTACAATAGTGCCACTCACCATTCGGGCAAAAGCTGTATTGCAGTTTCAACCTATTACGACCTAACATTAGTGCGCATCTCCACTAAGTTCTGTGGGAATCGAATTTACGACTAATCTTCAAACAAAGCAAGTCATCAGTGGTTCCATAACCAAGAGCTATGAGATAAATACACCGTCGAATGCACACACTACAGTTTCGTCCCACCGATTTCGCTAACCCAAATGATAAGCTGGTTAGAAAAGATAGCGATCACCCGATTCAAAGGTTGTGTGATAAAGTATAAGGAGCGTTAAATAACACAACGTTTACGTTCATTGTTAGGTAATCAGCCTTGATATAATCCAGCATGTCAGGACCAACCAAACTGAACATCAAACTAAGTTCATGGGCTAATATACACATGACCGACAAACATAGAAGGCCCGTCGAGATAAATACCAGCGTCCCAGTTGTAAGACTACCAAATGGAGCTAGCAACCCCGTTTGTTATGTAAAACTGATCAGACAGATCTTTTCAGGTCGATGGCGGAGACCGCATCACTGTTTGTATCGCAGTGCTTATTTGATGCCGTGGCGTTGTGGCATGGTTAACACCATTGCTTGCTAAATTCCTCATGGTGTTTGCCTCCCCTACCTCACGTTTCTTAACACTGTCGTTAAACACCCAGATGACTAAACACAGTAGTTTGGAAAAGGTATATTTTCTAACTCGAAACCCCATCGTAAGACCTACCTTGAAGGGCACGTAGTCTGGGTCTGCTATGTAAACATTTGTCTGAGTGAGACCACTGTGTACTCGTAGATGTCGCCCGTAAAAAATGGCACCGGTTCTAGTCACGCTTCAAGATGTATCCTTCCAGTCACTCTTAAAGTGGTATGCGTCAGTTGAACTGGCCTGAAGATTTGTCCTACGTGTATGTTTGCTGTTAGCTTTCGAGCATAATGGACCAAATAGGGATTAGGAAATCAGTCATCGGTACTGGTTTTTCACATAGGCTTTAACATCAGCCTCCTTAATTCGAGATACCGATTGCACTTCCATAGTGAACAATCAAGCAGTTTGTGGCAAGGATGTGCAAATAATACAAACGTGGATGAACACCAACTGAAACTTGTATGAGGCGGTAGCAGACGAGGGGTACTCAACGACACAGCACGCACATGCTTCCATGATTTTGCTTATCCGTTTCAAGTCACTTGTACGAGGTTGCAAAAGGGTTCACGCATAAAACGTTCAGCGATATTAAAGAAAACCGCTGAATATGTTCGGCGATAACCCATCAACACTGGACCGGATCATGTTTCCTCGATGAAAGGGGAGATCAAACCATGAGGAAGCGGTGTAACTTATGCGAACATATTCAAATTCATGGACAATAGGGTTGTACGCACTCACCGCCAACTAGGACTTGTATTGTCATATTGATTGAGGCATCTTTGTAAGTCGACTGGGCAACACACATGTACTCTCCAGAGTCCGATTTTTGAACGAAGGGAATGATCAGAGTGCCGTCAGCCTCCACTTGATTCGGTGGTCGTATCGGGTGTAGATCGGTATTCAGTGGACCGTATTTGCGATACCAATTGATCTGCAATGTGCCGTAGCCACGTGCTTTACACGGGATCCGACCTTGCGTGTTCAGTTCGAGGAAGTGTTCTGTGAATTCGCGCAGAAACTGCAGCTTGCCTACGCAGAGGTAATTGAGAGGAGAAGTACTTGATGAGAGACTATTCACTAGAATATGGACTTAAAAGTGCCTGGAACCTCATCGCAATTGGACCAGAAAACGGTAACTAGGCTTACAAAAAGTGCTTAAAATGAAACGGAGCTATTGCATAGCCTTGTCAACCGACAAAGGGAGCGTGCTGTGGCTACTGAGTGCAAGTGGATGCTTGTTTGGAAGATAAACTGCTATCTGCCGCGTTTCGCTCTGATTAATAGCGAGCTATAGCCACAGAAGTGAGCACATACACCAGATACTCATCAAATTACTCGTAAAGTACTGGATTTGGGTGCAGCTCGAACACCATGTAATAATAACTCAAAGTTGCCTACCATGAATAGTGTGCTATCACGAAATAATGTGTGGGAGGCGCAGGATGAGCATAACCCATATTCGGTGTGCTGGCTAAAACCATTCAATTGGTTTACCAAAGAACGGCGACCAGTACTCATGAGTGTTGACATTTGCATGTAGACAGGTACTTTGCAGTTTAATTTGGTGATAGATTGCATATTAGTGTTAGTGTAATTAACCACCTGTGGGTATTAATGAGTTAAGTAGGAGGGAAGTGGAAGTTGACCAAAGAGGAAAGGCAGCAAGTAATTAGTTGCTCATTGAGTATAATCAAGTTGTCGACAGATGCGATATGTCTTGGGCTGAATCCATTCAGTTACCCGGTTATCAAGACCGTAGCTTTCAGTAAGTTATCCCCATGAGCAGGTACGGGTGCGGAAGTCCCTGAAATTTACTGGCTCAAATAGGTAGTACGGTATGGTTCATTGAGTTCATCGTCCAAGTAGGCTACCTCGGAAGACATGTTCAGTGTGTGAGCGCTCATCTATGCGAAAATATGCACAAATGAAAAGCTGGTAACCCTTTTCAGAAGTCTGTTGTTGCAGTGAATAGTTGTTTCCTATACTTGCTATAAGGCATAGCTAACCAAATGCCTGGCATTGTGAAACTGGCGCTGAGAAACGACGGTCGAAGGTGAACGTAACTAACTGGCCCATTCCTGTCTACTGCGACAGCGTTAGCAAATTGGACGAACGCTCAACAGTATGATGCAACAACATCCGGCAAGCCAAAGTGAGGTTACTCGGACGGTGAGTCACCCAAAGTTACTTGCTAACGGCGCGAGCATCGAAGGTCTAATTGAGTATGTACATCAGATTTAGGTTCCTTGACGATGCACTGGAACCCGGTTTGTAGGAGTTTCTTCACTCTGGACCGACTTACTCAGCTCTAAATTTGCAACTAAATCGACTTATACACCACTTTGATAACCCGACTTCAGATGGCGCAGATTGCATCGTCTTCCTCTGCTAAGGGCAGTAACGGCTTCACGGGCCTACTGGATGCGTCATTTGCCGTGGTCCAGTATGTGCTCTGAGGAAGAAGCCTAATCTGTGGTCGTTCTCATTCGGTTTCCATTAATTCCAACCAGTATATTATCAGATGAGCCCGTTTGTTTGACCACCTGTTGTAAGTGCTCGTACATAAACTAGCTTGGCTAACCACGGGTTACTGGGCTTTGCAGTTGTAGTTCCCCAGCCAGACGATCGCTCGAAGGTAGACCACTATACTGAGTAAGCAATCGTGGCATCCGCGAAGTCTAGTGCTGCATACGTGTGAAATTCGTGGAGCTCATCCGTGAATGACATTGTGATTTCCGGTGTTATGCGGTTCGCATAACAATCGTGCCGTCTCGGATTTTCGTGAGAATGCTTGGTTGTGGAAGGTGGTCATTCAGCCGAACTACGCAAGTGCTTATGATGATACCGACATTATTGCGTGCTTTTCTAAAGTGTTTGGTTTGTATTTTCGGGGAACTGAAAGCGACAATGTGATGTACACATCATTTATGATAGAAAACGTGAGCAGCCCTAACAGTCTTTTTATTTTAAGAAGTAGTAACGGGTGGTCCGATCCGAGGTTCACAGGGCTCCTCATGGCCATAGTTGCAATTTGGCAAAATGAAAGTCTGTGAACTCGGTGGATGATAGTTACTGTGCACAACAGAAATAACTGGAATTGTTCATTTCGTTTAACTGACATGGTTGTTGACCAACTTAAGCAAATGGATTGTCGCAAGTAGCGATGGCAATTATAAGGGGCATATACGGTCATCGACTTTGCTGATTGGCACGATGTGTGTGTTCAAAAAGGAACCGAACTTTGGAAATGGCGCGATAACCGGCAGCGGGAGCGGGCTGCAACTACTGAGCGCTTGTTTAGACAACGAAGTGGCTGCTGCCGCATTTCGCTCTGACTGTTAGTTGGCGAGCTCCAGTCGCTAGAGTGTGCACGTGCACAAGCTGTCCGTCGGATTAGTGACAGAGACAATGAACGAGCTTTAAGAATTTGTGTGTGTGTGTGTGTGTGTGAAGTATTGCTAGAAACTTGGCAAAACTTTTACAAAGACATTACAATTACGTAGCCAAACATATGCGTAGGGCTGTATGAGCCGTACACAGTGCTGTAATTGGTTTAAGTGTTTGGAACACAGCAGAATGCCGGTCGGTGACGATCCAAAGTTTGGATGAGCTTCCAAATCAACAGACGATGACCATGTCGAGAGTTAGTGCTGTGCTCCGTAGAAATTGTCGTTTAACTGCTCGAGAAGTTGCCGACGAAGTGGGCATCAGCGTGGGAGCATGCCAACAAATTCTAGTGCTTTTGAGGGATGTTGTGCAAAGCAAAAGGCAAGAACTGTGGGAAAACCAGACTTGCATGTTGCATCATGACAATGCGCCGGCTTACGCATCGCTTCTTGTCCGCAGCTATCTAGCAAAACACCTCACCCTCGTTGTGCCTCATCCACCGTACTCTCCGGACTTGACGCTTGCAAGCACTTCCCTATTTCCCAAACTCAAAAGCAGGGTGAAAGGACGTCGTTTCCAAACCCTGGAGGAGATTCAGGACTATGCGACAATAGATCTGCGCCATCCGAGAAAGTGCGTTGCGGGAGGTTTTCCGAAAATGGCGTATTACCAGTAGAGGGGACTAATTTGATAGGAAAAGTGCCTAAATGTTGTACAGTGAGCAATAGATGTTACAGCAAAAGTTCAGCTTCTCTTTGAATATCCCATGTATGCAAAGGGATCCGAGCTAACATAAGTTGAACAGTAATGTTTAAGCTCAATAAGCCAGTAGATCCCGCAGGTGAAAGTGAAAATTTGGGCATCAGATTGAGGCTGAAACATCCTCGCTAGCATAAGCATGAAACCAGTTTGACCACAACGATAACTTTGACTTTACATCAATATTAATCAAACTCAAAAATCCCGGTTGCGATTCGGTATGGATGTAAAGGGTACTACCAATAATCGGTTAGCAATAAAAAGCGTCTAGGCAATGAACCGACAAGCTGGCCAAAGAATAGTTATCTGCTTATTGAAACAGAAAGCGAGTAGGTGTTACCATAGGATATGAAATGAATGTCACTTCGTTGTCTCGTTATCTTGCGGCGCGGGTTCGAATCCGCGTAGGGGTGGGCGTCCTCGCGGCATACTCAACCCGCGTGCTATTAGTGGTAGTCGTAGGGCAGCGAAGCGCCGTTACGGCGTACAGCTGACAAATTATTATTATTAGTTGTACTGAATGGTGGAACCGTCTATTATAATATGTAGGGTAGCGAAGGACATGAAAGAAGTGGAACGACGAATGAAAAGGGACTGCAAAAGGGAACTTTGATGTAGTCGATTTAGAAGCATCTTCAATTTGGATGTAATTTAGTGGTTCCTCACTTATCATCCAGCTTCCGTTATGGTGATGCAATCAATAGAAGGTAGCAAAAAAAGTAGCCAAGTGAATTTTATATTTCCGTCCACGGAAGCGAGGAAAAACGGCCTTCTTCGAATATAAGAATTACCGTGCGTCTTCCGGAGAGAGTCAAGTACTATAAACTGTTCTCGATGAAATTCCTTTTTGATTATCATGGTCGGTCCAACGCCTGCTTACGTATATGGATTCAATTCAAAGCGAGACAAAAGCACATGTTTTCAAACTGTCTCACCTTTTACAATCAGTCTCGTTTCCCGACCAGGTGCGCGGTTCTTGTAGCCGTCAGTCTGCACAAAACACTGGTAGTGCCCTTGATCCTCGGGCTTCAGTTTTGGAAAGTGAAGCGTCTCATCGTTATCGTCAAAGGTCATCAACTGTGAAAGAATTAAGCAGGATGGACAGGATAGTAATGAGGTGAGCTCGGTGGTTTGCTGTGTGTACACTAGACTAAGAACAGAAGGCAACGTCAAATTCTTGCTAAGTTGTTATTTTAGGACCTGACGAAACAGAACAGCAGTGGAATAATGGTAGATAAATTTCGGAATAGTGGGGCAGGTAACAAAAGCCGATGAGGTACACTCATCTTGCCTTATGCCTTGGAGGATGAACGCTTCACTATATCAAAAAGCAAGTGGTCCAATTCTTCCTGTGTCAAATTTCGGACCCCAGATGAGCATTGGGTTTGGAGTCGCAAGAAATCTGCAATGTTTTCAAGGGATGCTTGCATGCCAGTCTTTAGTGGAACTATATAATGAACTTGCGTTCTAACACAGTATTTTATGATTCACAGTAGACTGTTCTCTATCAAAGAAAAACCAATGCACAAGGCCTCCTTAACAATCCCGCTGAATTTCGGCTAGCTCAAGCATCACACGCTTGAACATCATCACCATAAGAGCAACGTGAACTTGCTCAGAAATTATCGATGCCGAAGTCGTGATACAGGGTGTGTCCCTTGTTCGTAACGGTCATCCCGGTAAAGATCGAGTACTTCTGTACTATGCATTGATGCACTGCGAGTCACTAGTCACAAATTCACTCTGATGTCGTCTGCAACTAAGATGCAGCGTCAACTGCCTTGTGGTACCCACCTATCGTCTCCATAGGTCCACTCCAGAAATGGACGTCCACAGCCCATTCGCTTTGAGAGTGGTCCTGCGACTATGTTACGACATACGCTTACCTCAGGTGACTTAAATGTTCACAATCTAGAATCTGGCATCTCACAGTTCAATCACACATTAAGTGAACTAGTCACAGAAGCCACCTGGGAGTTGTTGGATGACGGTTTCATTGAGTATATTTAAATGGCGTTTGTTGTTAAATTTAGTGATCTGATCAGAACCGCGTCGAAAATCAGATCCCTTCCTTTTGCAAGGGCACCATTCATCATTCCGAGCATAACTCGAGGAATTGTGGCATGCTTACCGAGGTAAGCCTATTCCTGACAACTGGATCCATTATTTGGCGCAGCATAATCAATGTACCACACCTGTACTTGAGGGCAAATCCGCATGTCAAAAATGCATAGCGAAAGTCTGTGCCAATTACAAGCAGTTCTACAGATACCTGAACAGCTTCCGGAAATTGAAGCTTGTCATTTCATACGCATCTCAGCAGACGCATACGTTCAAAGCGCCGAGAATGCAGCGGACGTTTTACGGCTACTTTGTGCGCCTATATTCCGATGTGTCACCAGCTCGTGTCACATAGCTGCTGAAATCGCCCAGACGCCAGGAGTAACCAGTCACCTTTCGTTCAGCGATTGTGTTGAGGAATCAGCTATAGTTTTGCACTCATCCTACTTCCGGAGTTGATAACATTCACTTGTGGTCGCTGCAAGGTTAGATGGGTCATTGTCGTGATGCCTTCAGATACTTGGATGAGTAGCATTTCCCTACCATGTGGAGGGAAGGAATTACTACCCCAACTTTTAAGGGTGTTATCCGTTTGGGGCCCGCAAACTATTGCTCAGTGTTTCTTCTACAATTGCCGAGGTACTAATTAGTTACTTAGAGAGAACCAACCATAGCATACCGAAACAACATGACCTCCGTCAATACCGGTCATACAACACCAACCCACTGACTGCGACGGGTAATTGGACCGAAACGTCCGATTGTATGACCGCAACTAAAGTCACGTATTTAAAGTTTTCCAAGGCCTTAGACAGATAGGATCACTATGCCTTTCTGCATAAGCTGCAAAGCTGCGGCATTGGGAACCATTCGCTTAGATGGATCAGAAACTTCCGTCTTCAACAGTGGCTGCAGGTGCAAGTTCGGGGCTCATTGTTTATTTCGAATGAGATGCAATATGTTATTTCACAACCGCCGGTGCTTGGACTGTGCTTACACTAAGTTTTAAGTAACGATCTCGAGAGCCTCATTGAATTGAACTGCTTGCTCCTTACCGATTACATCACGATATGGCTGGCGACCTGTAATCAGGAAGGTCACGACCTGATGTAACGAGACATGGACAGTTCGCCCGAATGATCAACGACTCATCTACTCCAGAACAACGTGGATAATTGTCAAGTAGTTCATGTTGGCCATCAGACAAATACCATATACAGGATAAGAGAAAAAACCTTGGAAATTGCCTCAAAGGACAGAAACTTTGGCGCACAAATTCAAGATAACCCCGGTAGCTCGGAGCAATCGATGAGAACTCGAAACCCAAAAAACCATCTTGGTCTCTTACGGAGGGCGTTCCAGCGGTTTAACCTTTCCATCTTCCCGCAAATATTCAACGCGTATGTGATGTCCCAGGTGACATATACGACTCATGCCTGGTGAACCTGACTATGACGCGATTTGGTTGCACTCGGAACCCCACAGCTAAGGACAACCAACAATGCAACAGGCTTTTTTGCCTGCCATACCAAGTGTGACTGAAAACACCGATAGTGCACAGTGGAATGCATCGTTGACTACGGGGTGACCTCATCCTAACCTATGACATTTTGTAGAACGCCAAACATGTTTGCTGCCATCTCCTGGAATTTAACTGTAAAAACAAACGAAGGGACCGCCAGCTGCCACTGACCGTCAAATACAGTGGGTTGGAATGTCGCCGGACTTACCTCCCTCCAAATTTGTCAGCCTCGGAACGCTCTTCCGACTCTCATCATTTCTGTCCCCACTTTGTCTGTACAAACATAACTTGATGATGGCGTATACCAATTGTCTTACGTGTTTTGATCCACTTTGATTGGGTGACGAGACTAACAAACGCCGTGTTCATCAACCACGCACGAAATCAGGTGGGCGTGTTTACATTCGTAGTAAGGTGGATCTCATGGTGAGTCCATAGATGCATAGTTTACATCCTTGACAAGAATTTTACTCCAACTCATAAATTTCGTCTAGACTATGCTACGGGACTTATCAATTCCTAGCGTTGTTACACTATTATACCATTGTTCTATTCCAGATGGACCCCCGGTACTAGCCTCGACGGCATAGATAACGTGTTCGCTTACGTATTAAGTTGCGTAACTAACCTGCGATATAACTATACTTGCGTCGGGAAGATTTGCAGTAGCCTGCTCGCACAGTGGCTATTCACCTTTGGATGTGAGTATGGAATGAAAGTGCGGTGGCTCTAGGTCTTTTGATGCGTATCATTAAGATGATATTAAAAGCCCAAAGGAATTTAGTGACTGAAGGTTAAAGCAAAATACAGTGAAAGTCTGAAAATATGTACTTATAAGCCAGCTGTAATTGTACTCTTAAGAGGCTAAAGACTGGACGCTGAACAAGTACGGACCGCGCGATTGAGTCAAACTGGGTACAGTCACTGTTTTCTTTTCTGGGAGAGCCTGGGGCCGCCAACTGAGAAGGCATCACGTGCCAACATGATTCAGATCGACATTTATGTCCTATGAGTTTTAGTCAAGCCATTGGTGGACGAAATGTGGCCTCCACCAACCAGGCAAGCAATGGCAGAAGAAACTTGTAAAAGCTAAGCAAATCGAAAAGTCATGATGGCTAGGATTGTGGCCGCCTCGCACCAGCAGTTAAGAAACAAATGCAACCATTAGCCCATCGAGTGTCCTTTAATGATGCTGAACCTAAATACAAACTCATTGACCAACATTTACACATAAGTTGTGTTAGGTCTTATATCTTCATCCCAGTCGCATCCTATGCACTATAGAACTTCTCTTGTCCTATCTGCTGCCATCGTTGAATAAGAAGTGCAAATCCGCTTGGACGTGGCGTCGAAACTGAAGCGGGGTACATGGCGAAGCCGCCCGAAAATGTGCAAACACTTACTTGATGACCATTTTTCAAGCGTCACAAACGCCTCGGCACACCTGGTAAACTCATACTCCTCGTGTGGACGCCATAGCTCGGTTATCATTTTCATCTTTGTTTCAGAACTGTGCTCCTGATTGTGTGCTATCACCGGAACACTCCTGTCGCGCTATTTATGGGTAGTGATCCCGAATACATGAACATTTGGGTCATTGTATAGACAAGTCTGAAGGAACACACACTGCTTAGTGTACATGAGGTTCGATGCAACGGCACAAACTGCCACTGATTTCACAATTGCACGTTTAATCGCTTATTGGATTGTAGATGAAAATTTGTTTGTCTGGGATGCATAAAGAGCATTACTGATTTGACAAGATCCCAAGGTTCATAGACAAGAAAACGGCCTAGCTCGAAAGTTTGCAAGTCTCTCCGTGCTGTTTTGCTACATAAGCGACCGATCGAATTACAGCGTCACCCAACCACACGCGGTGGCGGTAAAAACATGTCGACATACGTGGTCGACCAACGTGAATTAGACGGTCAGCGTCCAACTGACACTGACGGTTTTTTTCCAAATGTCATCTGAGAAACTTTATTGTTATTCGTTCGGTATTCTGCGGTTATGAAAAGGTAGTACAGAGGAAAAAGTGATCAGCGACACTCAACCAGTCGACATAGTCAACGCATTGTGACCGTGTTTCTCAACTACACAATCACCTTGGTCGTACTGCGGCGTATTATAGCCTCTGTTGGTCGGTTACCTTACACAATGCAATCATGTGTGCGCGGCCCAACAAACCGCTAACTAATTATCTGATTGGTTTAAATGCCAGAGCTGACACTGCAACAAAGATAGGTTAGTTGATCACCCAGACTAACAACTGTTCGATAGCAGCGAGAGCTGGAATGGTCTCAGCCCATTAATGCAGTAGAATATATCACAATCAAATGCTTAAGGCAAATGATTAAATGCGAACTATTTACAAGCAGAAAATGGGCCTGATCACTGAAGCTAAAGACGGAATATTGCAGATTTATTCCACCAGGCCGCAAGCCAAATAGTCTAGTCACCAATCCTGTAAAGCACCGGATGGCCCTTTCGCCCGTTTTGAGATTATCAGGGGTGTGTATCCTACGGTACCATGAGGAACCGAACTTGTGACCGCTAGCAGCGTGCATCGCTAGCCAGCAACTCAAAGCGCTGCGCAATGTGGGATGCTGGAAACGTAACTGGGATTTAGCTCAAGCCAACTACCACTGCAGTGCAGAAGTTGACAACGTGAAGCTCGATGATGGCTACAAAGATATGATTACAGGTCCTATTGGGTTGGTGCTTAAGACGAAGAGAAGAGGACTGAGAAGAAGTTAAAAACGTACGCTATTTTTGTGCTTTTTCAGTAATCGTTGGTCCTTTTCCCAAACCACAGTGCTCCCGGGTACAGTTCGACGCTTCACACCACAATTCAGACTCACGGGTTCATCCTCATCATAGGCGTGTTCAGACAGTGTCAGTGGCTGGAAAAATTCCGGGGGATCTGGGTAACAGAAAAGAGTAGGTGCAGCTTATGGACACCAGGTTGATCCAGCAGGTTTACTCAAGCAGCCTCGAGACCAAATGCTTACAATGAAACGTAGCTACTAAACCAGTTGGGATGAACAGAGAAACAGGTAGCAAAAATAACAGATTTATTCAACAAATATGGTAAAGAAATTCTTGACGACAGTGGGTAAACTGCACTCAACAGAGAAATGTTCAGGCTATCATATCTCTAGCCCCCGGTTTAAAATTCACGTGGATGAGGGGCACTTGACTTGTGAGCACTTTTGTGAAACAGTTTACTTTAAAGTGCATCTCGACGATTTCAATCAGTACGGCCAAACATGAGGTGCAATGACTTTCTCAGTGTTGTACGCCTGTAACATTGCGCCACACGAATGGTTTCGTCCGTATCTGGACACCGAGTAAGCGTTTACAGATAAAGCTTGAGTGGGGGATTTGATTCGACACAAAAACAAATTCACGAAAATGTAATCCTATTTCATGTATCATACTAACGTATGCAGTTCCCTCATAGTGGAACAGGAAATGTGTTCAAGTGGACAAAAGACATCATGCGCGAAACTTACGAAAGTCCAAACATTGTGCTTTATCTAATTGATTAAGCAGGATCAGCCTCGTACAGGACATTCTTTAGGCGCTTTGCTTTCTAGCAACATCATCATCAGAAGCATTAGATCAGCCCATGACTACTTCACACTGGCAAGTCAACAAGCGTCACATTTCAGCATACATAAAACTTTCGTTACACAGACAATTCTACATCTGCATATACTGTCGTCTCTTTTCTTTCTACCATTTACGCACATACTGTCGTCGCTTTCAGTATACGAGTTCAGCGTTGATTTTTGCATTACCTACACACAAACTCAGTATGTCATCACATCTCTCTTGATCTTGCTCTTCAGTTATCTTCTAACCGATCATCCGGGATTCTTGATCTATTATTGGCTGAAGTATGACTGTAATAGTTGACAGACTGATTATGTCCTTACAAACGGGTACCGATCTCACGACAGCCAAATTATTCTTTTTCATTCGCACCATAGTACAGTTCCAATCATGAATATCTGAACAAGCTTCTACTGTCAACAAATTCGAGAATAAACTATTTACTTATTTATTTAAATGCCATCAAACGTCTGTACGGCTGCACATTCCTTATCATGCCTGGTTGGGCGTGTCACGCATTGTCGAGAATATATATATATATATATATATATATATATATATGATACTGCGCTGTCGTGCACTCACAATGGCCTATGGAAAGTATAATAATAAGAGGCAGAGAAGGGGAACTGACCAGGAAATCTTAATGTTTTAAACAAACATTCAGGGTCAAGGCGCCTACAATTTGTCAATAACGCCCCTCATAAACAGCTGGTTATTGTGCAAAGAAAACACAGCCTCGGCGGGACAGTTTCCATGCGGCTTCATTGCTCCTATCTATAATCAGCAATTACTAAAGACCCGAATTTTCCACGATTCCGCAAAACGCAGAAAAATCGCGGAATTTGCTAACTGTCGTGAAAAATGGAAAGGTTCGTGGAATCGCAGGAAAAATGAGAAATTCACAAAGATAACTACTTTGAAATCGTTTTCGTAATCAATATATTTGTCTTCGGAGGAAATGACAAAGCAATCAGCTGGTTATTGGAACATTCCTTTGGAGTATAGTCACCGCTCTCTGCTATCCAAGTTCGCTTGTCCCCAGACTCAAGTGTCACCCATGCATCTATCCAGTGAGCAACTAAATGCCATCTGCCTGCCCACGCTGTGCATACGTTTTATTGTTCATTATGCAGTCTTTGCCCAAATGTACATTAAATCAGTTCTACATCTGTTCAGTCACACCTTTTGCGCATATCTGACCGGCACACACCGCCCCCAATTACGGCCACACGTGAACTTGATGCTCTGTTACCTCTTATATGTTGAACAGCGGCCACGTCGTTGCATACGACTCGGCGATGCAATGTAAGCGACCGTACTAATTCGCTGAAAGACTGAAGTCGTCATCAAGTCAGTATAGTGGCGAGAACGGTGATTCGTACCCTCTTTGAGTACTCGTGAAGATATTGTTGTGTCAGTACTAAGCAGTTACTGTTGAGGTTTGCCATTACTGAATTTTCATATTTCTTTGAACAGCAGTCAGTCACGGCTTCGTTTACCTTTGACCCATTGTTTCTACGTGCTACTCGATAACCAAGCTAATCTATCGTTTATAAATGTGAAGACACACCGGTCTACTGGTGCGGAATGCATGAAGGAACTCCACAACCTGCAAACATCGCCGACTGTTATCCATGCATTCCCGTGAATTCGGTAGACGCTGAACGGAGCTTTAATGGTTACAAAAATGTCTCACAGGCATCCCAAACTTTCAGACAGTAGCACGAAACATCTTGTTGGGCCTTACTTTAATTCGTCTGTTTTGAATTATGATTGTCATGTATATAGTGGATGAAGATGCCTTGATTTCAGTTAATTATCGTTTTCGCGGTGAAATCGCGGAATTTAACGTCTGCCACAAAAAATTCGCGGAATTTTCGATTTCGATTGCGGAAAACAGGTTTCACCACCGCGGAAAATTCGGGTCTTTAGCCATTACCCCGCAGGTAACTCAGCTCTAAGCACACTTTAAACAGGCATTCCGACTAGGAGACGACATCGGACACGCCAATGGTGTCGGTTGCGAGCCATGTCCTGTAACATCTGAAGCCAGCAGAAGGTTAGTCGCGTGGACCACAGCCTGTACAGGAAATGAACCGACAGCACCCAGTGTGGTACTCAGTGACTTCATTTCTCGCTACCAAGTTAACTTTACCACCTCGGGCCTTGCGCCACCTTAAATCTGGTAAAAAGACGAGGCCTTTCTCAGTAAGCGGTGACCGTAGTACGAGCCCAAGCCAATTCAGCTTATTCAGTGTTATCTGTTGTTCTAAGGAACCAGTATGACTATCACCACATAGCCCTCACCTACGCAAGCATTGTTGCGGATAAGCTGCTACCAGCTGACACCAGCAATCCTTCGCAGACGACGATTATCAAAGACTTGAATGCGCCGCAAGTCCTCAGATCGAAGGGGCCAAGCCTCAGCCACGTAGAATGGGACGTCCCTCACTGTGGCCTTGTAAACACGGCCTTTCAGACTGAAAGAAGCGTTTTATGAGTCCACAGGTGTTTCATATTCAAGGAGGCAGTTCTGGCTTTTGGTATACGTAAACTAACTTCAGTGATTATGCGCCTAGCGTTGCTGATGCAGCTGCAGCGGTAAATGATGTGATCAAATACTTCAAGTTCCTCGCTATCAAGAATCAATGGAACATCAAGTGGTTTGTGGTCCTACAACAACACGTTGCACTTTGAAGATGCGAAATGCATACCAAATGATGGGACTACCCTAGAAAGTTAATCCAGATTTGACTGAGCCGCCCCAACATCGTTAAAAAGCAAGACAATATCGTCCGCATAATCAAGACAAACTAGCTTTTTATCAGGCAGCACCTCAACGCCTGCATCGTGAGGCTTCTCCAAGGGACACTAAATGATACAGTCCACGAAGAATTTGAACAAAATTTGGGAAACTGGACAATACTGACGAACACCAGTTGTTATCTGAAAGGCATCCGATAAGCCACGGTAGATCTTGAGGCCGCCTGTGATGTTCTAGTATGGTATGACGGCATCCGTATCCGGATTTGCCTGTGACTGTGACCTCCATGGGGACAGCCACAGGATGTTCTAGTACAGGGCACATAAAATGCTCACCTATTTCATGGGAACACCTGCCTGTATCTGGAAAATAATGGATCGAAGGACTGAATCTAACACACTCTTGAAGTCCAGGTACACAGCTATTGTCGGCCTGCTGTACGTGTGGCGCTGCTTTAGCACATGCCGTAGAGTGAATATATGGTTAATACAGCCCCATCCAGCAGGGAAAGCTGCCTGCACTCCTCTGATCCAGGATTCCAGTTCTGCAGTGAGGCGACGGAAGAGAACGGAGGCCAGTAATTTTGTCGTCACCGGCCTTAAGCTAATACCCTTGTGGATAGTACAGTCCGCACGGCTGCCATTCTTGTATATTACCACTTTACTCGATTCACTCCAGTTAGGTGTGATAGGCTCTTTCTTCCAGATCTCGAACAGAAAGGTCAATGCATTCATAAATAGTAAGGGTGCGAAAGAATCAGGACCAACAGCAGGAAAAAGATTGAAGGCTGTGATCGGCTTTTGGACTTAGCATCCGACGGAGCCTCTAACCAAACCGTCCATGGCTCATCCTGCATCACCAGAGGAGGAAGAGTTCCGGAAGCAGGGGGGCCAAATGAACTGCTCTCGAAAATTCTCCGCCCATTGAGCAATACGGTGCTCCTTATTGTGAATCACAGCACTAGCGCTGTCGCTGCTTGTCTTAATGACTCCTGGTTTTCTGGGGCCATTGGTGCAGATCAGTTAGAAGAGCTTACGATAATTGCCTACTGCTTCGGCTACCTCTAGTTCCGGCGCATTACTAGTCCACCAGGCTTCCTTTTCAGCACGCAGCCTCCGTTTTAGTTGGCGCCTAACAGTCCGCTTAGTTACATTGTGCAGAGAGTCAGCCGGGAGCTTTATTCTCGATTTCAACAAATTCACCGACTTCCCGTATAGCCAATGACTGGTGCGTTGACGATTAATAGTGCTTCAAGCAGAGGCGTCCGCATCATGCATGGCGTCCCATATCCTATCCATTCTAGCTCAGTGTCGTTAGGACAAGAGAGCGAAAGTCTGGTACGCAATGCATCCTGGTGGACTTGCTTGACCGAGAACTGCAATAGCTTCTCAGTGGTCAATCGAGAGGTTCGTTTGGTACGCCTTCTGGTAAAGTTCATGAATAAAGACGTAATACCAAAGCGTGATCAGAGTCGACACAGATTTTTCAGAACGTGCCACAGACCAGTGTGGAACCACACCACCATTAATATATAGAAG